CTGGCTACTTGCAAGACTTTCTTCAGAGATATCCCCAAAGGTAGTAATTTTTTTCCCAGGAAAAGCCAAAATTCCCTGGGGTGTTGGCAAGTCACAAAGCAATGGAAGCTAAGCTTTTCCAGGAGATAGATCTTACTTAGACTAAGCTAATAGGAACATCAACACAAATCATTTGTATTTTTCTAACCTCTTTCATCTAGGAATCTCTGCAAAACATAAGCATTTATTAATTTCTTCCCGTAATGGTGAGTGAAATCATTGTGATTTTCTTGTTTTATAGACACAGAAGCCAAGTTATGAAGTGCACAAAAATTAGTGAGAAATCCAGAAACAGACTACTGGAATCTTTACTCTGGGCCATTCTTGATGCTCAGCCCCACCCCAGATCTCCAGCTGCCCAATAATAAGCTAAGGGTTATAATTCTTCAATTGTAAACTAACTTTTGTGTTTTCATAGTCTTTAAAATATTCCATAGTCTCTTCACTTGACCCATAAAATAGCAGGCCTATAGGGGCTGTGACTTAAATAGTTATAGTACTTGAACTACAACTCAGATCTCATAAGTCTTAGTCCAGTACTCTTTCTACTTGGTAAGCAAGTCCATACATCCTTGTAATTGATATTTAACTTATAGAAACTATAATTAAATAGAGATTCTAATCTGCATAGAAATCCAGACCTATTCAACCCTTTTGATCCATGAGCACCTAATTATATGAGGCCTTTAAGAGTTAGCTTTGGTGAGAGACCAAAAAAAAAAGCAAGTCACTGAGATATTAATGAAAAGCACTGGTAACTCTGAAATTGAACTTATCTTTGGGTTCATGTAGTAGAAAGTATAGTGAGGATCCCCCAAAGAAGTCTTGAATAGTTATCCTTTGAGAACTAAACTAGTAGGAATGAATTCTTAACTAGTCATACATAGAAATGATTTCTGAGAAAATGTGTCACTGAGGAGATTTAGGAATCAGCATTTCTAATCAAGTTGACTAGGTTGTATATACTCTAATGAAAATACTATCTCCAAATACTGTCATTATGTCAGTGATTACCAAATCCATATTTTCAAACCAAACCTTTCAACCTCACATATTCAAGTGCCTACTTCTCTACTTATCTACATTTTCATGTTGAGATCTCAAAGTTACTGTATTTAAAACTCTGGGTATTTCCTCTTGCAAGTCTTCTTCATCTCAAGGGCACTGCCTGCCCAGTTGCTTAAGTCAGAAACCCAGGAGTTAACTTGAGTCCTTCCTTTTCCTCACCTTCATTCAGTTCATTATCAAATCTTGATTCTATGTTCAAAATAAATCTCAAATCCAACCATTTCTTTCTCCAATGCCACTAGCCTAGTCCAGGTGATTTTCATCTGTCTCTTGGATATTATAACATTCTCTTGCCCCTTTCCTTCATTACACCACAATTAATTTATTGGTCAGTTGTTTAGTGGTGATTTTCATAATCTCACTTCACTACTAGAATGTATGTAAATTCCTTGAGGATAGGTACAACCTATCTTGTTCAGTCTGATATTCCCAACATGTAACAAAGCCTAGTATCACAGGCACTTAGATATTTGGTAAATATTTGTTGAATTACTGGACAAAAATCCAGTAGTGCCCCAAATTTTAACATGATTGCTTACAGTAATATAGTTGAAGTTGGAGCCTTCATTTATTTATTTTTTTAAAATATATTTTTATTGATTTTTTACAGAGAGGAAGGGAGAGGGATAGAGAGTTAGAAACATCGATGAGAGAGAAACATCGATCAGCTGCCTCCTGCACATCTCCTACTGGAGATGTGCCCGCAACCAAGGTACATGCCCTTGACCAGAATCGAACCTGGGACCTTTCAGTCCGCAGGCCGATGCTCTATCCTCTGAGCCAAACTGGTTAGTGCGGAGCCTTCATTTAATCATGTATAGTAAAAATGACTGAAATTGAACTTATCTTTGGGTTCATGTAGTAGAAAGTATAGTGAGGATCCCCCAAAGAAGTAATTAAAATTAGTTGTAATCCAATATGTCTGAAAGAATGTGTTAGAATTGAAATGGTTCACCTGGAACCCAGAAAGGGAGGAATCTGCCGGGATTTGGCCATGTTTTTTCATCCAGCCGTGTTCAGGACTGAGAAATTGTAAACCCAAAGAACATTGTTAAGCTATTTATTAACATAAATAATTTTTTAGGCTTCACCTGGTTCCTGAATAAAATCATCCACCTCTCTTTTTTTCTCATCATTCACCAAACAACATTTTAATTACCAACTTAGAGTTCCTGGTACCTTTATACTGGGAAGGAAATCCTCTGGACAGCAAACACAAATATATATATTTTGTTAATCTTCACCTAAGGATATTTTCCCCATTGCTTTACAGAGAACTTGGAAGGGAGGGGGGTGGGGGGAGAGAGAGAGAGAGAGAGAGAGAGATGACTGGTTGGCTGCCTCCTGCGCACACTCCAACTGAATCCGCAACCCAGGTACATGCCCTTGATCCGGAATCAAACCCAAGACCTTTTGGTGCCAGGGTCAACTCTCTAACCATTTAGCAACACTGGCCAAGGTTCAAACACGAATATTTTAGTCACTGAAAAAATATTTTAAACTCTAGAATGTAACTCTGTGAGGGCAGGAAATTGTTAATCACAGCTGTATCCCTAGAACCTAGAAAAACGCTTAACACAAAGATTCTTTATAGGTGTTTGATAAATGAATGTGTATTAGTAAATTAGAATTATACTTTATACCACATTTTTTTATGAATTAGGTATTGTGAGTCAGTCCTCAAGTATATTTCCATGCTAGATGCATTAGGAAAATCAGATTTCTTGTCTTATAGGCCAAATAGGAGATCCTGAACTCCAGCAGGATCTGTGAGACCCTATTTGGTTAACTAGCTGACATCCTTCTCTGATGTTACGGTCTTGGCTTTTTGTAACGTCAGTTCATTCTCCATCTGGCCTGCAGTTTCCTTTAAAAAGTCAATCATGCTGTTCCTCTGCCTAAAAATCAGTTATTTATATGTTACTTTTAGAATAAAACCATCCACAGTCTGCCTCTCCAGCGCTTCTCAGCACTGTACTCTCTACCTTTCTTAATACTCCCCATCATGTATTCTAAGTTCCAGCTACACTAAATAACTACACTAAATCTCCTGAACATGCTGGTCCCCTGGCTGAAATGTCTGTCCCTTCTCTTCCCATCTGATGAACTTCTGCCATCCTTTAAGATCCAGCTTAGATGTTACTTTTTAAAAGAAGCCTATGATTTACTTAGTGTGTGTGGGGGGGGGAAAGCTAATCATTTCAACTTGTCTTCTTTCATTACTCAGCTAGAGGCCTGGTGCACGAAATTCATGCGGGGGTGGGGGGGTGGTCCCTCAGCCCGGTCTGCACCCTCTCCAATCTGGGACCCCTTGGGGAATGTCCAACTGCCACAGGGATGGGGCCTAAACCGGCAGTTGGACATCCCTCTTGCAATCTGGACCACTGGCTCCTAACCGCTTGCCTGCCTGCCTGTCTGATTGCCCCTAACCACTCTACCTGCCTACCTGATTGCCCCTAACTGCTTCTGCTTGCTGGCCAGATCACCCCCTAACTGGTCCCCTGCCAACCTGGTCGCCCCCTAACTGCCCCCCTGCCAGCCTAGCCACTCCCTAACTGCTCCCCTGCCGGCCTGCCTGATTGCCCCTAACCACTCTCCTGCCTGCCTGATTGCCCCTAACTGCCTCTGCTTGCTGGCCTGATTGCCCCCTAACTGGTCCCCTGCCGGCCTGGTCACCCCCTAGTAGCCCCCCTGCTGGCCAGATCACCCCCTAACTGCCCCCCTGCCAGCCTGGTCGCCCCCTAACTGCTCCTCTGCCGGCCGGCCTGATTGCCCCTAACCACTCTACCTGCTGGCCTGATCGCCCCCTAACTGGTCCCCTGCCAGCCTGGTCACCCCTAACTGTCCAGAAGGAAGTCGGACGTCCAGAAGATGTCCGGTTGACCCGGTCTAATTAGCATATTACCCTTTTATTAGTATAGATTATAGCCCTTATCCTGGAGGGCAGAATTCTTTGCCTTACTGATCTTTCTTTGCTTCCCCAGTGCCTAGCACATGTTTGTGAATGTAAGAACCCATATGGGTGATAGATGAGAGCTAAATACTAACTTGTAACAGCCTTATCTTCTTAAATGTAGCCTCCTTCCCAAGGGAGAATGGCAAACTTCCTAGCTATATTCCATTTGAAAAAATTTGGCATGAATATAGTCTGGAAAAAATGTGCTTTACATACTCCTTTTATGATTCACTGTAAAATGAGGTGATAATAGTCTTATTGATAGATTAGTAGGCTCTTAGGAAGCAGTGATTCAATTTTGAGGACATTATACTAAGTGAAATAAGACAGTCACAAAAAGACAACTTTATGTATGATTTCACTTATATGAGGTATCTATAGTAATCGCTCTCATAGAAACAGAAAGTAGAATGGTGGTTGCCAGAGGTTGGGGGGAGAAGGGGATGGGCAGTTAGTGTTTAATGAGTATAGAGCTTTAGTTTTGCAAGAAGATAAAGTTTTGGAGAGTGGTTGCATGAATAATATGGATGTACTTAACACTACTGAACTGTACTATTAAAAATGGTAAAATTGGTATGGCTCAGTGGTTGAGCGTGGACCTATGAACCAGGAGGTCACAGTTTGATTCCCAGTCAGGGCACACGCCCAGGTTGCAGGCTCGCTCCCCAGTAGGGGGCATGCAGGAGGCAACTGATCAATGGTTCTCTTGTTTTTATTTTTCCAGTTTTTTTATTCTAATGGCCAACGTGCAGACAATCCACTACAAAGCGCCTCCACTGCCATGTGTGCAAACTGAGGCTCGGGCTTCTTGGCTTGGCCAGAAGCCCACAGAGCCTGGAGGACTGGCACGTTGCTTTACGAATGACAAAAGGAATATAATTGTGAGAAACTAGTGTTCACCAAAATAAAGCGCTACCTACACTGCCAGCCAGATTAACTAGATGCATGAAGCTGCAGTGAAATCAATAACCAAAAAATACTAAGACTTGTTAAGGGGCCTTTACAAAACAGGCTCCCTGGGAGAACCCAGTAGGCTAACTACCCAGGCTTGAAAGTGAAGAAACAAAATCACACTGGAAATAAATCAATATGGAAATTTTCTCTGAGAACAACTAGGAGAGTTTTGGTCCAGAGATATCTGAAGGCAGTCAAATATGTGGGGGGGTCTCTATGCACCCCAACAAGATCAATGATTCTCTCTAATCATTGATGTTTCTATCTCCCTCTCCCTTCCTCTCTGAAATAAATTTTAAAAATATTTTTTAAAAAATGGTTAAGATGGTAACTTTCATGTCATATGTTTTTACCACAATAAAAAAGTTAATGTGTAAAAAAAAAAAGTGGGGGGGGGGGAGAAAGAAAAAGATTCAGTACACCGTGTACATACTCAGTACCTTGGATTGTCACTACTCATTGCCCATCTTTCTGCCTTGCTCTTGAGAGACTTAGTAACCCCCAATCTCAGCACAGTGTTTAGAATTTATTAGGAGTCCCATAAATGTTGAAAGAATGCATTGAATAATACTTGAAATAAAAAATTAATTTCCTCCTCTTCTTTTGGATAATTTAAACCAGTGATGGCGAACCTTTTGAGCTCGGCATGTCAGCATTTTGAAAAACCCTAACTCTGGTGCCGTGTCACATATAGAAATTTTTTGATATTTGCAACCATAGTAAAACAAAGACTTATATTTTTGATATTTATTTTATATATTTAAATGCCATTTAACAAAGAAAAATCAACCAAAAAAATGAGTTCGCGTGTCACCTCTGACACTCGTGTCATAGGTTCGCCATCACTGATTTAAACCCTTCCTTTTAAAATTGCTCTTTAAGGCCTTTTCTAATCAGCCAGCCTACTATAATTTTATCCTTCTCTGTCTTCATGTAATACTTATCATTTTGACTGTTATCTGGCATCATTATTTATTTTTAAATGCACGTATCCTTTCTTTTCAACTAGATTATAAAATCCTTGAAGGCAAGGACTGTGTACTGTTGCCTCCTACAGTGTATTAAATCTAGTAGCATCTTAATGCTTTAAACTGTTAGTGATGTTACCCACGTTTACTTAGTGTTTTGGCATCTCTACAGAAGACTTCAAAACTCTTAAGAAAACCACAATGAGATACTGCCCTTCACATCCATTAGGATGGCTATTAGAATAAAAACATAAAGTATGAAATGATAAGCGCTAGCAAGAATGTGGAGAAATTAGAATCCTTGTGCACTGTTGGTGGAAGTGTAAAATGGTGCAGCCACTATGTATGGCTGATCCTCCTAACAGTATGGTGGTTCCTCAAAAAGTTAAAAATAGAATTACCATATGAAATAGCAATTCCAATTCTAAGTATATATCCAAAAGAATTGAAATCAGGGTCTTTAAGAGATATTTGTACATCCATGTTCATAGCAGCATTATTCACAGTAGCCAAGAGGTAGAAGCCACTCGTATTTGGTCATAGATGAATACTTCTATGTTATGTGTATTTAACCGAAATCTTGTTTTTAAAAGCACTGAATGGGGAGTCAAAAGATCAAGGTGAAGTTCTTGGTTGTTTCTTGATGACTGATGAATCTTGACCAAGTCACTCTTCTTTTTTCTTCTCATGCCTTAGTTTCTTCATCTTTAAACAGAATAATAAAGCCTGTCCAGCTTCTGGATTTTTGTGTGTGTGTGTGTGAGGTTCAAATAGAAAAGATAGCAACAATCAAAAACTTTTAAGATAATTCTTTTGAATATTGTTTTTCCAGTATTCCAGTGTCTCTGATATTTGTTAATATTCATTATAAGTTTCGCGTCTTATTTTGTAACAAAATACTTTTAAAGATGTCTCAGCAATAACCTGTTACCACTTCAAAGGATATATGTATGCTGAACTCTTTCAATTTGAACTGCTCACCTTATAATTTGGTCCCAAGAAAGCAGCAAGTAAACAGCCTTTTTGAGGACTATTGATGACCTAAGATGGTAATTACTAATGTGGTTTAGCATTAATTGAGGAAATACAAGCTCAGGATTTTCATGTGAGCATAAGAAAACTGATCCCAACTTGTTAGAATAAGGGGAAGAATTAATATCTGCTGAGTATGTACTAAGAGTCAGGCCCTACAGCAGATGTGTTGCATGCATTACCTCATTTAATCCTCACAACAGTCTTGTCAGGTTAATAATTATTATACTCGTTTTATAAACAGGAAATTGAAGCTCAGAGAGGTGAAGTCACCCAGGATCACACAATGAATGACGGAGATGGAATTCGAGTCCAGGTCTGTGTGATTCTGAAGCTCATACTCTTTCTATTCTCTTACACTGCCTCTCAAAATATATTTGACTCTGCCTATTGTAATAGAGTTAATGATAAATGATATATATTGATGTATATTAGTACATTTATATCAATTATCTTACTTGGTCATTACAAATAAGATAGTCTGTGTAGGGATGATTACCACCATGTTAATAATGAAGAAACATAAAGTCAGAAAATTTAACTTGCCTAACATCAACCAACCAAGAAATGATAATAATAAGACTTGAAAACAGGTACTGGAATTCCCTGACCTAGGCTGTTTCCACATAAGCCTCATGAAAGTGGAATTTTACCTCTGAATTTTCTGGTTCTGACTCTGTTTTGTGTTTTTTTTTTATCTTCACCAGAGGATATTTTTCCATTGATTTTTAGAGAGAGGGAAAGACAGAGAGAAATATCGATGTGAGAAAAACACATCAATTGGTTCAGTCATTCAACCCCAAACATGGACTTGGCTTTTGTTGTTTCAGGTTTTTCAAAATGGAAATTTATATTATTTTTCTGGCATAAAGGAAATAAATAAATCCTCATTAAAAATGAAACAATGCAGAAATAAAAAATGCAAGCCATCTAAAAATTTTTAAAATATATTTTTATTGATTTCAGAGAGGAAGGGAGAGGGAGAGAGAAATAGAAACATCAATGATGAGAATCATTGGTCAGCTGCCCCCTACTGGGGATTGAGCCCACAACTAGGGCATGTGCCCTTGACTGAAATCGAACCTGGAACCCTTCAGTCCGCAGGGCAATGCTCTATTCACTGAGCCAGAACGGATAGAGCCAAAAATTTTTATTAGGCATATACAAATACACACATGTTTTTACAAGACTGAAGAACTTAGCCTACATGTCCTACTTCTGCAAAGAAGGTAAGTTTAGCAGAGAGAGAAAAGATGGGGAAAGGTGTAACCAGGAAGTCTAGTGGAAGAGTGCTGGGGAGCGAAATTCCTCTTTTAGTGAGGTTGAAAGAAAGGGGTAGAACAGATAGAAAGAGTTTAGGGGAGTTAACTACTAGAGGGTTCTGTTTTGTTCTTTTTTTAAAAAAATATATTTTATTGATTTTTTACAAAGAGGAAGGGAGAGGGATAGAGTGTTAGAAACATCAATGAGAGAGAAACATCAATTCAGCTGCCTCCTGCACACCCCCTACTGGGGATGTGCCCGCAACCAAGGTACATGCCCTTGACCGGAATCGAACCTGGGACCCTTCAGTCCTCAGGCCAATGCTCTATCCACCGAGCCAAACCGGCTAGGGCTGTTTTGTTCTTAAAAGTAGGAGGCAGCCCGGCCAGCATGGTTTAGTGGTTGAGCATTGACCTATATATATTTTTAAAAGTAGGAGTCAGCCCTGGCTGGTTCTGCTCAGTGGTTAGAGCCTTGGCCTCTGGACCGAAGGGTCTCGGGTTCAATTCCCAGTCAAGGGCACATATCTGGGTTGCAGGTTTTCTCCCTGCCCCCAGTAAGGCCCTGTGCAGGAGGCAGCCAGTCGATGTATCTCTTACATCAATGTTCCTCTCTCTTTCCCACTCCCTCCTTCCCTCCCTGTCACTCTCTCTGAAAAAGTAATGGAAAAAATATCCTCTGGTGAGGACTAACCAAAAGGTTAAAAAAAGTAGGAGGCAGATTGGGTGGGCAGGGTGCATGAAGAGAAAGGGAAAGGTGATATGAGGCATAACTACTCATATTCAAAATGATGCACTCTGATCTTCTGAAGATTTTATCTGCTGAAGCCTTTAAATCAGAGTTGAAAAATTGGAGAAAATATATCCTAGTAGTCCTCCTTTTCTTTTGCAAAAAACCATGTGCTCAGACTCTGGATGGACCCGTCTTAGATTCTGGGCATGGGATTTTCTCTGTAGAGGGAAACTGAATAAGGTGGTATATCCGAGGGCAAAATGTGAAGAGGGCACAAGAGCAGGTGTTATATATTTCAGAAATACAGAGAAGGTAATTAAAATAGCCAAAACTTCTGTGTTTTCCTCAAATCCCGATTTGAACCTCACTGTGTATAGTGGCAGTGAATTAAATGTAATCTACATATGTTCATTGACATATTTCTTGGAAATTTAATTACCTCTGGAGAGATCTACAGTGAACATATTCAGTCATTTTGGAAGGCAGTGGTGATTTCTCCAGGGGTGTTATTTTAAAATCAAAACAAGCCTGGGCAGTGTGGATCAGTGGTAGAGCATTGACCTATGAACCAGGGGGTTACGGTTCAATTCCCAATCAGGGCACTTGCCCATGTTGCAGGCTGGATCCCAGTAGGGGGTGTGCAAGATGCTCCCTCAGCATTGATGTTTCTCCTCCCTCTTTGGAATCAATGAAAACATTTTTTTAAAGTTTAATAACAAGCAACTATCTATAATGAAGAACATCTCCATTTCAAACTATCACTTGAAATGAAAACAGAGTATTTCTCAGAGTGTGGTCTGAAGAACAATTGCATGTGGGAGTTGGGATGTTAGGGGTTAGGAGCAGGTGAGGATGGAGGAGTTTGTTAACATTGTAGTTTCTTGGATCCCATGTCTCTGGGGTGGGACCTGAAATATAAATACTTTACAGATGCCCTGGCCTATGTGCTCACTGGTTAGGGTCACAGGTTTGATTCTCAGTCAAGGGCACATACCTGGGTTACAGGTTTGATCCCCTACCCTGGTCGGGGTGCATGCAGGAGGCAACCAATCAATGTGTCTCTCTCACATCGATGTTTCTCTCTGTCTTTCCCCCTCCCTTCCACTCTCTCTATAAAATCAATGGAAAAAAATATCCTCTGGTGAGGATTAACAACAACAACAAAAATCAATGAAAAATATACCCTTGGGTGAGGATTAACAACAAAAATAAATAAAGAAATACTTTATAGATGTTCCTGGTGGTTTTTTAAAAGCTTTTATTATGAAAAATATCAATGCTATACAAAAAATAGAGAAACTAGTGTCATGAATCTCACTGTACCCATCATACAGCTTTAATACCTCATGTTCTCTTCTGTATCTACTATAGCCCGTGCCACTGTATTATTATTAAATCAGTTCTATTATTTATTATTATTTATCATATTGTTTCATCTGTAAATATTTTGGTATTTATCACTAAGTGATAAAAAACATAATCAAAAACCATTATCATGCTAAATAATTCTTGGTTACACAAAAGTTCTGTCTACTTTAATCATTGAAAAATTATGAGGTTTTCAACAAAATGGACAACCTAGATAAAATGGACATATTCTTAGAAAAATACAAGCTCCCAAAACTCAACCAAGAAGAGTCAAAAAACCTGAATAGGTCAATAACTACTGAAGAAATTGAAACAGCAATCAAAAATCTTCCAGCAAACAAAAGCCCTGGTCCAGATGGCTTTACAGAGGAGTTCTACCAAGCATTCAAAGAAGAACTAAAACCTATCCTCCTCAGATTATTCCAAAAAATTCAAGAGGAAGGTACACTTCCAAATTCTTTCTATGAAGCCAGCATTACCCTAATCCCAAAATCAGATAAAGACACCACAAAAAAAGAGAACTACAGGCCAATATCCTTGATGAACATAGATGCTAAAATCCTCAACAAAATCCTAGCAAATCGGATTCAGCAATACATTAGAAAGATCATACACCATGACCAAGTGGGATATATTCCAGGGATGCAGGGATGGTTCAGTATCCGCAAATCAATAAATGTGATACATCACATAAACAAACTGAGAGACAAAAATCACATAATCATATCAATTGATGCAGAAAAAGCATTTGACAAAATCCAACACTCTTTCTTGATAAAAACTCTCAGCAAAGTGGGAATAGAGGGATCATACCTCAACATAATAAAAGCCCTATATGACAAACCCACAGCCAACATCATACTCAATGGACAAAAACTAACACCATTTCCCCTAAGCACAGGAACAAGACAGGGATGCCCACTCTCACCACTCCTGTTCGACATAGTACTGGAAGTATTAGCCATAGTGATCAGACAAGAAGAAAAAATAAAAGGCATCCAAAGTGGAAAAGAAGAAGTAAAATGGTCCTTATTTGCAGATGACATGATATTATACATAGAAAACCCCAAAGACTCCATCAAAAAACTACTAGACCTAATAAATGAATTTGGCAATGTAGCAGGATACAAAATTAACACCCAGAAATCTATGGCTTTTTTATACACCAATAATGAACTCACAGAAAGAGAAATGAAAAAAAACAATCCCATTTACCATTGCACAAAAAAAAAATTAAGATACCTAGGAATAAACTTAACCAAGGACGTAAAAGACCTGTACTCAGAAAATTACAGGACATTGAAAAAAGAGATAGAGGAAGACATAAACAGATGGAAGAACATACCATCTTCATGGATTGGTAGAATCAACATCATTAAAATGTCCATACTACCTAAAGCAACCTATAGATTCAATGCAATACCTATTAAAATACCAATGGCATATTTCAAAGATCTAGAACAAACTCTTCAAAAATTCATCTGGAATAAAAAAAGACCTCAAATAGGCACAGCTATCCTGAGAAAGAAGAACAAAGTTGGAGGGATCACAATACCAGATGTCAAACTATATTACCAAGCCACGGTTCTCAAAACTGCTTGGTACTGGCACAAGAACAGACATATAGATCAATGGAACAAAATAGGGGACCCAGAAATTGACCCAAGCCATTATACTCAATATTCAACAGAGGAGGCAAGGGCATACAATAAATGCCTCTTTAATAAATGGTGCTGGGAGGTCAGATACTTGCAAAAAAAAATGAAACTAGATCACCAACTTACGCCATACACAAAAACAAACTCAAAATGCCTAAAGAACTTGAAGGTAAGACGGGAAACCATAAAAATCCTACAAGACTCCATAGGCAGCAAAATTGCATATATATGTCGTAGTAATATCTTTACAGACACAGAAACTAGGGCAAGAGAGACTAAGGAGAAAATAAACAAA